GGGGCAATATGCTGACTCTCTGTAAACCGCTTAGAGAGGGCTGAAAGCCCTATGAAGCGGTATATAAGTCTACTGCTATTACTGCTATTGCTATTTGCTTTGTGTTGTTTCTTGACTACTACATGATACATATACTGTAGTCTGTTAAGTTGTTAATTTTAACTTGGTTCACGACACAGGTAGCCTTGATCACAATTGGGTCTGGAATTTCCACTAATAAATGAGGCAATTGTTAAGCGAGTCATGCCCAATTTTAGCACCATTTTGCTCTGGTCATTAAATGAATCAGTTATTAAGTCCACTCAACTTCCCCTGTAGATTTGTTTGTCAGAAGCCAGCTGGGAACGTCACAAACGGCAACCTGACCCAACATGTTGCAACTGTCATAAATATATGCCAGTTGCCAAGTGCTCAAATTTTGATCAAGTGATCATGGGGACAACGCAATAGTTACAAGGGCAATGAGCAGTCATGTCATTTTTTTCAATGCCACTGTAACTTCAAACAGTTGCCAAATGAATGGCTATAGGTCAAGGACTACCTGTATTTAAGTCAAATACTATTCATTACTGATTCCTACTGCTATTGTTATTTCTCTATATTGTATTTATAATGCATTAAGGGATTATATGTTATGAAGTACTTTTGTGTACATAATAGAAAACACCCTTATGGGGACTTAGCTCTAACAAGTGTGCCCTACTAAAATGTTGGTAAAGTTAAAGCCACGTTGTAGAAAGCATTTTGAAACGAGACTGAATTTTTGCAGAAACTGAGAAGTCCCATAATTCAACAATAGAGTACAAATACTTATATTCAACAGGGACCTAGGATCAATTGGCGCAAGTTCTCCTTCAAGATTTTAGATAGTTGCTAACAGCGAAAGTGGATCAATTATTTGAATTAGCACCTGAAAACTTTCTATGTTCATACATTTAACAGAAGTGAATTATGTTCTCTTTGTCAATGTGAATATTTACCTGCCAGAGGTATTCCCACGTCCATTGCAGAACCACTTCTTGCTGGTGTTACAATAGACCACGCAAGCTGGATCATGGATGCCACAATAGCTAAGGAAAACATAGAGGGACCATAGCTGTAAATCAATTCTACTTCAAGGAAAGGAAATCAATGACACTCGCCCATACAAACTGATTAAGGAATTACAAAGACTACTATGTCACTGTTTCTGAAAGCTGACAGCAGCATTAACAACGTTTTGGACATTATACTATCCACAACATGCCCTCTATGGCAATAAAGCTCCTTGTGATCAATGCCAAACATCACAGCATAGCATCAGTGGTGGGTTGCAGACAGTACACCCTGGTGTGCGCGTATCGGAGCCAGCCCGGAGCACCGGATACCATTTTGGTACAGTGCTTCGTAGGGCCCGCCCGCGCTCCTTCCGGTGTTTAAAGGCTTCTGCGCTTCCGCGCAGACGCATACAGCACCTGCGTGATGCTCCGCAGAGCAGCTGGAGTGTCGCAGAGCATCACACAGGCACTAAGATGCGCGCTGCACACGTCCATGAGGACGCCGTTGGCCCCGGAACCACTGCCGTTGGCCCTGGAGCGGGATTTCCAACCTACCACTGCATAGCATACTTTATTGGCCAAGTGTGATTGGACACACAAGGAATTTGTCTTTGGTGAATAAGCTCTCACTGTACATAAAAATATATCCATCAAGAATCATAAAACATTTAGTGATAGTCATAGGATACTAAAAAAAATCAAATCATACTAGGAAACTAAATAAAACAATATAAATCATAAAGATACAAGCAACAGGGTTATAGTTGTATGTAGGAGGAGATAGGTAATAGGAAGAATGAGAAGAATAATAGTAATACAGTCAACATAAGCACTGCAGCTTAAAAAGTATGTTCAGATATTCAAAATGCATTGTTAAGAGAATTCCACTTATTCAGCTAAACACTGCAGAGTATGGCATAACCAAACCAATTTAATCTTCCGAGCTTCAGAAAAACAGAATAATAGAGTGGGAAGGGACCTTGAAGGTCTTTTAGTCCAACCTTCTGCTCAAGCAGAAAACTATACCATTTCAGACAAATGGTTGTCCAATCTCTTCCTAAAAATCTCCAGTGTTAGAGCACCCACAACCTAAGGAGGCAGTAAAGCATAAATGCAATATTCTTAGAGAGCCAGAAGCAAGGTGTTAGAAAATGATCTGATGCACTAAGGCATCTTAAAGGTTCTGATATAAAACTACATAAAACATAGAATAAGAGCATTTAGGTTCAAAAAAAGGCAACAGCAATCCCATCTGAATAAAGGACTGGACCTCATACAAGATCATTAATTTTAATATAACCTAACAGGAACCTATTGTAAATCCTTTAATCGACTGATAAAAACCATTTTCTCAATCCCAGCATACATGTGCAGGTTCTATGTGAGGGCATAAATATATCCCAGAAGCCTAAGGAGAGAGTCACTAGATACTGGTTCTAGATTATGATGGCAAAACGGGATGGGAAATGAAAAAGTAAATCACTCACTAGCCACAGGGAGAAAGCTTCCCCAATGTGTTAAACTGATGCCCTGTTCTCATAACACAAGGCTCTACTATCTCACCTGCAGGCATGTACAGGCAGGTCCTTGGTGTAATAAGTGTCTTCCTCATCTTCTTCAAAATTGAGCTCAGCAAGAAGTTGGCTGGTTTTAGGCACATTATCATCCACTGCCCCATTCTGGAGGATGCCATCTGGTCCATTTACCTGGAGTTACAACAAAACAAAACAAAAAGTAATATATGCAACTGTAATTTATTTATTTTTTAAAGCAAGTCATACAGGCTTTTTTTTTAAAAAAAGGATACATCATACATCAACGCCAATTTACAAGCATGTGTATAGAATCTTGAATTATGTTCAATAAACATTGTGATAACCTTTCAAGAAATGCTATTTTTTAAACAGAAGTGGAAAAAAAGTTTTCTGAACAATAGCAACATTTGGTTCTGATTACTGCCCCTTTGTTGTATTTCCTCTTCTATCAGCAGTTTCAAATCCTACCTTTTCTTAAAGTATCCACAATACACTTTAAGAATTATGCCACTAAAAGAAAAACAGTCTCCTCTTTAGGCATCTATCCTCTTCTAAAATCACAGAAAGAGATTTCACCAGGTTCTTCCTTAATTCTATTGCTTTGATCTACCCCAGTCACAAGGCTATCTAGAAAGCCCCAATTCACAAGTTTCCTAAGCAATGATATAGCATCACTGAAAATTTTGAAATCCACCCATAGATTTTATGAGACCGGAAAATTTTTGCCTGCTAAACAAGCATGGGAACATCTGCAATTGTTTAAACATTTGTCTGGTATACATTTTTTTGTCTGGTCAGTCAGAGTTAACAGAACTGAAGCAATGGCTAAAGTGCTAACAATATTGACTTATTCTTCCCAATTTCTTTAATCCCCCTCACACCCCAGTGTGTGAAGGTTAGCCCTTGGGAAAGGCCCCGATTTAGGAACCCTAATCTTGCTGGTGCATAACAATGATTTCCTTCAGAAACTCTCAACATAAGTGGATCTACCAATGTTTCATATATTCTTCAATGAGAAATTTGATTTCTGCTTTCATCTCTTATATGGTAAGTCATTCTAATTCAATGTGTGGATGGTCTTGGAAGTCAAATAAATACTTGCTATCACTAATGGCAAAAGGAGGAATCTCATTGTTATTTATATACATACATACATACATACATACATACATACATACATACATACATACATATATAGTTACATATTCAATAAGAGATTGGTTCAGATCTTTT